AGGACTCATGTGAGAGAAAACCTGCTCACACAGACATGTAGAGCCAAACACTGTCAATAAGGCCTCTGCAATGTTCTGAAGACAGTTAAACGTGTCAGGTAGTGACGTCCAGCAGGTGAACATGCAGCTCCATGAACACGCACAGCTGTGGATTCCAGCTGCAAACTTTGACCCCACAGAGTCGAGCTTTTCAGTTCAGTCAGCTCCTCTGTGTTTGTTAATGCGAGACAAATCCAGCTGCTCACTAAAGCTTTCTGGTTTGATCAGAAAAGAAAACATTGATCCAAACACCTGAAAGTCCCAAAAACGCATTGTGAATTCTGTCTCGCGTCTACGGATGTATCCGTGTATCTCCGAGGTGCTGATGCTGCGCTGAGCTGCTGAAGATTTTGAAGTGTCGGAACGTGGAAATTTCAACATTGCTTGAAAAAACTGGCAGCTAGCAACGTCCCTCTCACCAATAAATTATTTTTAGCCAATTACAAGTTGAATCTGGTAGTTGGGGTTGCTAAGATACTGTCAGGACAGGGTGAGGATGGAGGTGAGGAGGAGGAGTCACAACTAATGTGTCTATGTGAGTTAATTTGCGATGTGCACCGCAGGCCCGGCCATTTATCTTTTTAATGCACCTTCTCAGATTAACTCACTGCGTGCCGTGCCATCAATTAACCCTTCGTGCCCAGGGTTACCGACCCCTGCTATATATACACAGGCGGGAACAGGCGGGAACGAGGAACAGGTGGCAACACGGCTGGAACTGATTGGGCAAGACAACAAAGTAAAACAGAAAACACTAACATGAGACAAGACCTTCAAAGTAAAACAAGAAATACTTACACAGGACATTCGATGGAAGCAAAACCCAAGAACTAACAAAGACTGATCAAGAAATCAAAGATCAATAATAAAAACACTGAGTCGCCGACCGAGGACCGTGAGAGGCGCTCGGGGACGTTCCTCGCGTGTCTCTGTCAGTCACCGCAGCAACAACAATTCTCCCACAAATAAAAGAAGAGCCGCTGCCTTCAGCCATCAAGGCACTCATTCTATTCTATTCTACTCTACTCTACTCTATTCTATTCTATTCTATTCTATTCTATTCCAACATGATGAAGATTTTTCTGCAACACATGATTAAACAGTAGAACTGATAAATATTACATGTTGATTCATAAAGAGACAGACTGGATGAAATAAGTTTAATTTCCATTTAAAAGACATTAAATAGATTAGAATTCTATTCTGTAGTCTACTAAAGGCGTAGTTAAAAAATGTAAATCTTTACTTTAATGTCATCTTGAACTAAATTTAATTAAAAAACACACTTAATGTCTGTTATGTATTTTTATTTATTTTTAGATTAAATAAAATAAAGGACCAACCAAAAATATACTTTTATTTAAGTGTAATGGTCACTGAATTTAGTATTTGACGTTTCATTGTTTTAATTAAATGACTTCATTACATTGAATTTCTTGAATTCATTCGGTCATTATTTCACATATTAAAATAAACCTGATTCAACAACATTCATCACGTTAGTGACTGAGATGCTTCATCCTAGCAAACAAGCATTTCCTCGTAGTCATTAATATTCCATCGTTGATGTTTATTCATTGGGTCCTCTAGTTCTGTTGTAACGACCAGATAAGCTGTTCCTGTGTAAACACTGACGGGGGTCTTCCCTGTGGTGACGTCCAGGCTCTATTTTTATCTGGAGGTCAGCGACACGCAGCAGGACTATTTTGGGTTGTGTGGCTGATACACACACACACACACACA